CCCCCCCCCCCATAAAATACCAACAACAAGAACTTCGTGACAGGTTGAAGGAGAATTAGACATTTTTAGGGGAGTAATACTGATGGTTTTCCATTATGAGACAAGCGCTGTGATGTTACAACAATTATTCATTAGATGATATTGCATTACTGTTTTTTGAGTGAACCCTGTAGAAGTAGCCTATACCTGGTCATTGTCAGACATTGAAGGACGAACTATTATTTATTATTTTTATTGACGAATATATGAATTGAATTGCTGGAACATTTCCCCTTGAATTATAGGCGATCACACTCCCCTCTCCTTTCTTTTTTTCTCCATTTAAAAAAGGCAAAAAAATAAGCAAACAATATTCAAAAGGACCAAACAAACAAAAGACGATTGCGGAGGGGGCGGACGAGGCTTATGAAACTTGTTGGTCTTGTAATTTTTCCGTTGCAGAGGTTAAAGATACACTCTTGCAACTTCTTTTTTGCAACCCACACAAGAACGAATTCACGGCAAATCTTCTCGCCCCCATGCCTAAACCTTTCACGTCATGCGTTCAGGTCTTCATTATTTCTTTTAAAATGTGATCAATTAAGCCCCCTCTTCTTGGGAAAAAAACCAACAACTTAAAAACCGAACATTGCCGTTTGCTGTTCGATTTGGAGGACTTTATCCATCCATACAAATTACAATTCAAAACCAAAATGGAGAAGACACAAATCAAAACTAGATCTAACTAAATCTTGAAACTTTTCTTTCAGGATGGTATTCCTATGACGTCGCTGTGATCGAACTGTGATGAAAACCCTTATTCCACAAGCCTCGCAAACTGTGGTCCAGCTCACCACAAAGCCATTGCATCAGCAGTGAAGACTGTTTTCTTGAACATTTTGACCGAGGATGGAGTGAGTGATCTACTTTGCGTCCACGGAGGCTTCTGTGTGTGCAGAAATACTTGAGAGATGTTCTGCCATCTTTTTTTTGTATGTGCAATATTGTCATTTTTTGTCACTACCACATTGCAGACACAAATAGCCTACATATGTTCCACTCATACATTATATATATATATATACATGTACATGTATAT